TGGGGCTTGCTAGAGGGGAGGGGGTAAGGGGATGGGGTAACTGGGTGATGGGACATTGAGGAGGGCACATGATGTAATGAGCACTGGGTATTATATAGGATTGAGGAATCACTGAACTCTGCCCCTGAAACTAATAATATACTGTATGTTAATTAATTGAATTTAAATTAAAAAAGCAAAGTATTCAATTTATTATTTTTCTATTTTTAAATTAAGCTTTATTGGTGAGTAGTTACACATTAAAGTGTATATAATTATATGGACATAAACTTTTGTGACAGAATCCTTGTACATGATGTAGGACCATAATATTAGCACTAATATACCACATTTATTCATTTAACAAATATTTATTTGCGTGCTTAATATGGTCCAGACACTGCTATAGAAGCTTGGGTTCTATCAATCAACAAAATGCACTCATGGAGCTTAACATTCTACTACTAGTACTACAGAGATACATAATACTTTAATGATATTGCTACTTTATAAAACTGCAGTGTACCTTGATGCAAATATGGCAGTTAAATATATATTTAGAAAAATGTGCTTCAAGAAAGTAGGGGTAAAGTTGTTGCTTTTTATTTGTATTTCTTTTTGCCTTACCTTGTAAGCATTTTGTGATATTCAGAGGGGATATTAAGGAGTGACTTTGATTGATTAATTTACTGTTTCTTATCATGTATATAAGGACAGAGTTATAACAGAAGTAATGGTTAATCCATGTGGATGTTGAAATAAGAATATCCAACATAAAATAACAGTTTGTAAGTTTTAATTACATATTCAGGATATTTATTAACTGGAGTAATAAACCCTTATTTTCTGGATCAGTTTTTATTTTTTTAGACATTACTGTAAAGTATTTTCATTATATCCAATAGGATCAAAATTTGCACAGAAATTATCACCTATCCTCAGCTTTGGGATTTCTTACCTAGCTGCCACATTTTTACTAACTTTATGCTAGCATTTTTTTATTGCTAACATTGTCACTTTAAATTACCTCTAGTATATTTGGGTAACCATTACTGAAGTTATGTGCAGTCTGTGGAACTGCAGAATTCCCTAAAGGTGTTTGTTATTTGCCAGTTGTAGAAAGGAGTTTAGTTAACATTGGCTTCATAAGCTGTTTGTCAGTCGCCCCAAGACCATCCTTAGGTTCAGTGATTCACAAGACTTAGCATATAGTCATATTCAGGTCTATGATTTATTATAATGAAAGGGTAGAAAGCAAAATCAGCAAAGGGAAAAAGCAGATGGGGCAGAGTCCAGAGGAAACCAGGCATAACCTTCTAAGAGTCTTCTCCCAATGGTTTCGCCCAAGATGTACTAATTCTCCAGAAATAAGTTGTGATAATATATGTAAAGTGTCATCTACCAAAGAAGCTCATTAGAGACCAAGTACCTAAGTTTTTTATGTGCTTTAAACACACTGTCTGCCTGGCTCTTACCAAATCTCAGACTCCCAGAAAGAAAATGGGTTCAGAACAAACCACATTGTACAATCTAGGCACAGTGAACCATTCTTATCAGGGAAAGTTTTATAATAGTACAAGGAGCTATGTACCATTCAAGTGCACAGACAACAGCCTAGGAACAGCCTTGCAAAGGAAGCTTTCTAAGGTGAAATTTCAGTTGATTCTTAGAGGATAGTAAAGCATAAAAAGAAGTTCGCCAGGCAAAGAAGGGGAGAAAATAATATAAGGCTTTCAAGGAAGGGTATGGATTCTTGCAAATATGTGACATGTTTAGGCAGTAGTTAATTGTGGTTTGAATATCAATACATAATGAGCTCTCTATAAGTAATGGAAATCACCAGGACCCAGACACAAAGAAGGAACTGATCATTTATTTATTTATTAAGATTTTATTTATTTATTTGACAGAGACAGCGAGAGAGGGAACACAAGCAGGGGGAGTGGGGGAGGGAGAAGCAGGTTTCCCTCTGAGCAGGGAGCCCGATGCGGGGCTTAATCCCAGGACCCTGGGACCATGACCTGAGCTGAAGGCAGACGCTTAATGACAACCACCCAGGCGCCCTGGAACTGATAATTTAAACAGTAATTTCAAGAAGGTATGCTGTGACAAGCCTTAGGGATATGCTAGTTTTCAGACTAGCAACTTTGGTTTTCACCTACCCAGGGATAGGATACAAGGCCTTGAGCCCTGTATAAGGTGGAGAGTTCTTTGAACCCATATTAAAGCTGAATCTCTTCAAAGGGTACGTAGTCCATTGAAGACTAGGATAGAAAAAAAATTTGCCCATCCATCCAGGGAGATGTCAAGGAAGCTTAACTGTTTCACCCTGGTCTCTGGGTTGAGAAAAATAGTTTCCTTGGATTCATAATCATGGGCTTACATAGGTTATGATTTGAATATATGTTACTTAGTCTAAAAATCTCAAGCTGATGGGGCTCCTGGGTGGCTCAGTCAATTGAATGACCAACTCTTGATTTCATCTCAGGTCATGATCTCAGGTTGTGGGAACAAGCCCCGGGTTGGGCTCTTCCCTCAGCAGGGAGTCTGCTGGAGATTCTCTTTCTTCTCTCCCTTTGCCCCTCTCCCCCATGCTCGTGCCCTCTCTCTCTCTCTCAAATAAATGAATCTTTAAAAATTAAATAATAAATAAAAATCTCACGCTGCAATACCTCAAAAGTAATCCTGGATTGTTGATCCCCTGGAGCACCTGGCAGGAACAGATGCAGAGTAAGTGTGGAGATGTATGATCTCTACCCAGGATTCTCACATATTACAGCTACACTGAAAGTGAAATGAAAATAAAAATGATAGAATACCTGAGGAAACAATTAACTTTAGAAAAAGTTAGCAACAAAATAAGTTAGCAGTCAGCCTGGCAAAAGTTAACACACAAAACAAACAGCATAATTAGATTCTTAAGGGCCTCCAATAATAGAAATATTTGATAAAGACTGTATTATGTTTAAAGTGATAATTTTAAAGTGTAAGGTTATCCCAGAAAATTTAAAACTTAGATGAAGTAGACAATATTCTAGAAAAATACAACAAAATTGAGTGTTCATTTGACAGTAGCCAAAAATTAGAAATAATCTAAATATCTGTGAGACTAATGAGATGTTTATAATGTCTATGAGGAGAGCTAATAAATGATGGTATATTTGTGCAGAATTCTACATAGCAGTTAGAGTGATTGAATAAGTCTCACTTTGAGTGAAAAATGAAAAACTACATTTAGTGAAAAAGTAAGTCATAGAAAGATATAGCCGGCTTCATATAGTTTGTGAAAACATGAAAGGTAATGTACAGTTTAAGGATACATGTGTAGTAAAAATATAAAACATACACAGAAATAGTAAATACAGAATTTAGGATTTTATTTTATTTATTTTGATACATAATAAATTTTATTTTGTTCTTTTACATTTTTTAGTATAATTGACACACAATATTACATTAGTTCCAGGTGTACAACCTAGTTATTGGGCAAGTTTATGCATTATGCTATATTCACCACAAGTGTAGTTACCATCTGTCCTGTTACATTGCTATTACAATATCATTGACTTTTATTGACAATATCATGTGCCTTTTATTCCCATGACTTAGTTTGTTCTCTGTATTTATAGGTCTGATTCTGCTTTTTGTTTGTTTATTCATTTGTTTTGCTTTGTATTGTTTTTAGATTCCCATGACTTACTCATTCCATAACTGGAGGCCTGTATCTCCCTCTCCCCTTCACCCATATTTCCCAAACCCCCAGTCCCTCCCCTCTGGCAAACATCAGTTTTTTCTATTTATAGGTCTGATCCTGCTTTTTGTTTATTCATTTTTTAAAATTCCATTTATGAGTGGAATCATATGGTATTTATCTTTCTCAGTCTGACTTATTTCACATAGCTTAATATCCTCTAAACCGAGAGGGTATTAGAATTTAGGATTTTAGATACCTCTCAGAAAGATGGGAGGGAAAGAAGAGAATGAGATTGGGTATGGTCACATTTTAGGTGTCAATTGCATCAGAAGCAGATTTAGCAAGTGGTAAAATTTAATGAAGATGGGATGTGGGAACATGGCTATTCACCATATTCTGTATACTTTTGTGAATATGTAAAATATATATAACAAAAATATGGAAAAATTTAAAATACATTAAGCAATTGAGGGAAGGTACAAAAACAGGTAAACCTTATGTTCCTAATTTTGAATTGAACTGTTTATGTTTAGATAATAATAGATTATTTTGTGTTATTTCTTTTCAGAGTTTGTGGGGAAAATAACAAAACGATTTAATATGATATGGTCATTCTGGGATCAATCACTTTTTTTGTTTTCCAGAATTCTGTTAGGACTGTGAAATATTTCCTGCCCCTAAGATCTTTTCTCTCTTGATCTCTGAGTCAGTCTGTTTCTCTTCCCTTCCTCTTCTTCTCCCTACCTCTGTCTGTCTCTCTTTGGTTCTCTAGGTCTTTTTCTGTCCTAGTCCCTGTCTCTTGGGGTTTGTGTTGGGAGTTACACACTCTCAGTGCCTGGGGGGGGACTTTGTCTCTTAGGGTCTCTGTTTCTCGAGCCCCCTGCTCCTAGGCACTGTTTCTCATAGTTGTACTTTCTCAGGGTCTTTTTCTTGCTTACTCTCTCACTTGGTGTGCATGCCTCCCCCCAGTGTTTTTCTTCCTTTGCATTCATTTGTGCCTGTTTGTATGTGTCCCACTCCCTGTCTCTTTCTCTCCCTCTCCTAGAGTTGGGTTTGTCCCCTCTACTACACTCCCCACCTCTTGTGTCTTTTCCGCACAGTAAAGCTCTCTCTTTTCCTGGGGTGGTCTTTTTTTCTCTTCTTGAAAGAGGGTGCCCTCCTTCCCCTTCACCCTCTTCTTCCCCTTCTTCCCCCTTCTCCCCTCCTCCCTTCTCTTCCCTCCCCTTTCCCCCCTTCTTCCTGTTTCTCTTGGTCTCTTAATCCTTCTCTCTGGATCTTTGAGTTTCCTTATTTGCCTACTTATTTATGTTCCATTTATTTTATTTAGGTAAAGCTACTTCCTCTTCTAATCCAAGCAGCCCAGCTCCAGACTGGTACAAAGATTTTGTTACAGATGCTGATGCTGAGGTTTTAGAACATTCTGGAAAAATGGTACTTCTCTTTGAAATTCTTCGAATGGCAGAGGAAATTGGTGATAAAGTGTAAGTTTCTTCTATTTTTGTTATATAAATGAAACTTTTTATAACCTTTCTATTGTTTAAACAATTTATTTGAAAGAAATCTGTTTTGTTTTCTTCCTTTCTGAAGATGTAATTTCTTTAGTAGTGTAGTGATAGACAACTCTTCCTTCTAAGCCACTAGTTCTGAGTACATATTCTGGTTATTTCTTCAGTGCTGTTTTCCCTTTCTGGCTGTTGCACCTTGAACTTATTTCTTTGAGCCAGGTCTCTAGTGGATATCTATATTTCACCATCTTTAAAAATTATTTTTCAATCCATGCACTGTGGTTCCTACTTTATTGAGATTTTTTCCCCCAAAAGTCAATTAGTGACCTTTTAATCCCCAAATCTAGTGGATGCCTCTGACTTTATTTCACCTCATTGACTATTCTCTGTCATATCTCCTTTGTTTTTGTTCTTATTCTCATCCTTCAAATTACTGTTCAAAAAAACATACTTTTAAAGTTTTGAACCAGACTTACTTTTTAGGTTGTTATAAGGTCCCAACATGTGTTCATAAAAGATTTTTAAAATATATCTGTGGTTCTTTTTTTTAAAAAAAGATTTTATTTATTTATTTGATGGGGAGGGAGAGAGAGTGTGTGAGCACAAGCAGGGGGCAGTGGCAGGCAGAGGCAGAGGGAGAAGCAAGCTCCCCGCAGAGCAGGGGGAGCCCAATGTGGGACTCGATCCCAAGACCCCGGGATCATGACCTGAGCCAAAGGTGGTCGCTTAACCAACTGAGCCACCTAGCCGCCCTCTGTGATTCTTTTAATAACAGTTTAAAATAAGGCTTAAAATAACCGTTTTATCTTAAAAAAGTTTCAAACTTAGTTCCTTTAACTTTCTTGGGAAGAGGTAGATCCACTATTAATATAATTACTGTACCATCTTTTAATATACCTCTACTATGTACACATTCTAATACACTTGTATGTTTTTCACTGGATAGTGAGTTTGAAGACACAGACTGTTTCATTATTTTTTATTAACCATTATACCTTGTACTTAGTAAGTACTCACTAAAATTTATTTTTGTTGTATATTGCCATTTTTTAAATACAGAAACAAGTGGTTCAGATAAGGAATGATATTGGCCTGGAATGGAGTGGTAGTATTGGAGGTAAAGGATATGTTTTGGAATAGAAACAACAGGATTTGGTACATTAATGCAGGGCAGCAAGAATGTGAGAGTAGTCAGAGATGACTCTCAGGCTTCCAGATTCAGTGGCTGGTGGATCCTGGTGTTACTTACTAAAATGGAGAACAGTAGGGAAGAACTAAGTTTATTAGAGGTAGTAAAGAGTTCTGCTCTGGCCATGTTAAGTTTGAGAGGCCTATTAGATATCCATGAGAGATGCACGTAGAAAGTGGGTATTTGAATTCAGAGTTCCTAAAAGTTCAGGAGAGATTATTGCTGTGACGTGCTCATGCTCTTTTTCTGCTATCAACTTAGGTAGTTTAAAATTAATTTTTTATTTGGGTACCGTACAAAAATTTAAGAGTGTGGAAGGGATTTTAGTGGTCTTTTAATTTCCTCACCAGTGCAAGAATCTCCTCTACCATGTTCATCATAGATATTCTCCTAACCTCTCCCATGATAGAACATTTGCAATTTCAGAGGGATACCTACAGTTGAATACTTCACATTTTTAGAAATTATATCCTTATCTTTAGTTTATACTTTATCCCTATATCTGTTTTCCTTATGTTTTAAAATTGAACATACCTACTGCCTTTTTTTAGACTCATATAGTGATTTTTTTAAGTTATAAGTCCAAATGATAAGACATTATCAGTGTTAGGACTATAAAACTATGCATTTCCATAACTGTGATTACCACTATTTTTTATTTGTCCAACATTTCCTTGTGGAAATTTTCAAACATAAAAAAAAAGCAGAAAGAATTTTATAGTGAATATCCATATACCTGTCACCTAGAATCTATACTGTATCCTATATTTTATTGTACTTTCTTTATTACATATCTGTTTATCCATCTTATTTTCCTGATGCCTTTCAGTGTAGGTTGCAGACATCAGTACTACTGTTTCAATTGTCTCCTCTTCAAAAAATGGTGGGTTTATCTCTCTTGTCACTTTTAGCTTTTTCTTCTGAGTTCATTGATCTGTTCTTTGTATGGCGTAATTTCAGTCCTGACCATATGGTCTTGAACATACTTCAGTTTTTTAGCACCCATCTCAAAATATGGTCATAGTAAACAAAATACTTCAGCTGAGTTTTGATTAACAGAGTTACAGTGAAGCTGGTTCTTGTTTATTCAGGACCCTATACTTCCATTCATGCAATCCGGCAGAGGTTTTCTAACATCTAAATAACACTGTTGGTTCATATTAAACTTACGGTCAACTGAGATTCTCATTTTTTTTTTTTTAAGAAGAACTGGTGTCAGATCAGATTCATCTGTTCTCTATTTGTGCAGTTGATCTTTTGACCCAAGTGAAAACTTGATATTTCATAGGGCAAGAGATAAATGAATTTTAGTGATTTTTAGCCAGTGGTGTGTTGACAAATGTTTTGACAACTGACTCTTCAAAAAATGATAACAGAGAAAGCAAAGAAGCACATAGAGCCCTAATTTGTAACATTTGCTGATATCCTTGGTAAAATACTCCCACTGTGGCCAATCTTAAGCTACTAACAGTGGTGGGAAAAAATGCTAACAATCCACTTTCCTGTTTCAAGCAAGTTACAGCTAATTCCAGTACACTACTGGTTTCAGCCCAGCTCTTCTGACTTATTTTCTGTCATTTAAGTATTAAATTTTGATTGAATTATAATTTCCAGATTTTTTGATATGTATGAATTTGATTTGTATTGCTTCTGTATTTTCATATGGGTCATTAATAAAATGGATAAAGCCAAAATAGTTTATACAAGGATGAAAATTATTACCAGTCAGGGCGTAGTTGTTCATGTTATCTGCAACTAGAAAAAGTTAAGAGATAACCATTAGTGTGTAGCCACTTAGTCCTAATAACATCTTTTTCATAGATTTTTCTGAGCTCAGTGGTTCCCAGAACCAGCCTTAATGTGAACTCAAGTCAACCTTTTTCCAGAACAGTACCCCAAATCTCAAATTAATTCCAGTTAAATTAGTATTTCTAAGAATTTAAGTTTCCCAGTTATAGGAACTGCCAAAAACCTTAATTTGTAGCTCAAAAAGAATTGATTCAATAAAGTTTTTGATTCTAGGAAAAATAATCTATTGAGGGATCAAGACTGTTGGTCATTTACACTGAGTACTAGGAATACATTCATTTCCTTACCAGTATTCTAGGAGTACCAACTGGGAGACGGTAGACCCCCATAGTGCAGAGTTTAGGAAGTCATACAATAGACAAAACACATGTTAAAAACTCCCAACAGCTGTTTCATAACTTGGGTTGTTCTTTTCAGTTCTACTAAATCTGAAGACTTCGAGCAATGAGTGTTGAAGGATCTTCTGGAGTCATAAAAGTATCTCTCTTCTATAGTACAGCTTTCAGAATCAAATAAAACCGAACAATATGCTTGGACATGTGTCTAGTTCCTTGTATACTGACCTACTTTGTTTCCATATATAAGGGAGAGAAGGAGCCCTCCTTTATCCTTTATTCTCTTTCTAGATTTTTTTCATTTTCTGTGTATAATTGTGTCCACTTCTCACCAATGGGATAGATGAGACCAGTGGTTTTCAAACTGTTTTTCAGAACCCATGAAAGTTGGTGAAAAGAGAAGGCTAGAGCAGAGGCTGAGGGGCCAGTGACACTTTTATCTTCTTCTCCCCCAAGGCCTAAATAAAGCATCCTGCTTTATTTATTTGTTTAAAAAGATTTTTTTATTTGAGAGAGAAAGCATAAGTGGGGGTTGGGTGGGAGGTGGGGCAGAGGGAGAGGGAATCTCAAACAGACTCCCAGCTGAGCGAGGAGCCTGACCTGGGGCTGTATCTCACGACCCTGAGATCGTGACCTGAGCCAAAATCAGTGTCAGACACTTAACCAGCTGAGCTACCCAGGTGCCATAAAAGTTTTTATTTAAATTCCAGTTAGTTAACATACAGTGTAATGTGTAATGTTAGTTTCATGTTAAATAGATGATGGGGATTAAAGAGTGCACTTGTGATGAGCACCAGGTGTTGTATGGAAGTGTTGAATCACTATATTCTACACCTGAAATTATTTTTAGTTTCATTTTAATACCACATAAGACTTTATGTGAACATTTTAATAACACGTAAGACTTTATGTGAACAAATAGTTTTCATGGCTCAAAACAGGAGTTAGGAAACTACTGGGATAGAGAATCAGGAATCTGCAGACATATTTGAAATGGAACAATAAAGTGTTTTAGAATGTGTACAAGTCTAAAATTACTCAAATTCTTTTAATAGTTAACATTTTTTTCATATTCTTTAAATAGTTTCTTTTGTACACTAAAAGTTTAATTTTGATGAAATCCACTTTATCAACTTTTTTTTCCCATAGATCATACTTTTGGTGTTATGTCTCAGAATTGTCTAACCTCAAGTTATGAGGATTTTCTTCTTGCATTTTTCTAAACATTCTACAGTTTTACATTTTGAAATTAGATTCATATTCCATTTTGAATTATTTTTTCTGTAAAGTGTGAGGTTTAATTAAGCCAAAGTTCATTTTTTTTTCCATATGGATGTTGAATTTTGCCAAGACCATTGTTGAAAAGATGATCCTTTTTCCACTGAATTGCCTTTGCCTCCTTGTGAAAAACCATTTAGCTAACTATATTGTGTGGCTCTATATCTGGACTCTATATTCTGTACCATCAATTTGTGCTTGTCCCTTAAACAGTACTACACTGTTCTGATTACTCTAGCTTTTTAAGTGTTGAAATCATGTAGAGTTAGGCCTCCAGCTTTTTCTCTTTCAAAGTTGTTTTGGCTACTCTGTGTGCTCAGCATTCTCATATAAACTATAGAATCAGCTTGTTAATTTCTCAAAAATGCTACTGTGGTTTTGATTAGAATTGTATTGAATTTGTAAGTCAGTTTGGGAAGAAGTGATATCTTTACTATGTGACCCTTCTAATCCATGAACACTAATCCATTTTTTTAGCCTTGTTTTCAGCCAGTCTCTCATATCTCTGGACTTGATTGAAGATTTTCTTGAATTGGCCAGTAGGGAAAAGACAGAAGATAAAGATAAACCTCTTATTTATAAAGGTGAGTTACAAACATTTCTGTATCATAATTTTTGGAACCTTCATTTAAACATATTATACAAACATTTTAACAATAAAAGAAAAAATACTCCCCAGACACACAACTTTAATATATCTATTTTTTCTGCACATTCTTCTTGTCCTTATCTATATAAATATGGTCTTTATTGTTGCAATTGCAACATGAAATTAGATTTTTTTCTTTTTTTTTAAGATTTTTTTTTTAATTTATTTATCTGAGAGAGATAGTGAGAGCAGGAACACAAGCAGGGGGAGAGGGAGAGGGAGAAGCAGGCTTCCCGCGGAGCAGGGAGCCCAGTGTGGGGCTCGATCCCAGGACCCTGGGGTCGTGACCTGAGCCGAAGGCAGACGCTTAACAACTAACCCACCCAGGCACCCCAAGATTTTTTGTTCTTATAAAGAGCTTTATTGAGATAATTCACATATCATGCAGTTCATCCATTTTAAGTGAACAATTCAGTGGTTTTTAGTATTTTCTTTCTCTCTTTTTTTTTTTTTTAGTATTTTCATAGAGTTCTGCAACTATCACCACAATTTTCAGCCTTTTTAATCACCACCAAAGAAACCCTGTACCCTTTAGCTATTACCCTCCTACCCCTGCCTTCCACCTCTTCAGATCTTAAGCAATCACTAATGAAACTACTTTCTGTTTCTACAGATTGACCTATTCTGAAGCCTTCATATAAATGGATTCATATAATATGTGGTCTTTTGTGACTGGCTTCTTTCACATAGTATGTTTTCAAAGTTCTTCCATGTTGTAGCATGTGTCAGTACTTCATTCATTAGGCCATAAAGATCTAATAATATTCCATTGTATGGCTAATACCCACATTTTGATTATCCATTTATTCATTCATAGATACCTGGGTTGTTTTCATCTTCTGACTGTTCTGAGTAGTGCTGTGATAAATATTTGTATGCAAGTTTTTATTTATTTAAACATCTGTTTTTATTTCTTTTGGATATATACTTAGGGATGGAATTATTGGGTCATATGGTAATTTTAACTTATTGAGGAACCACCAGACTGTTTTCTATACTGGCTGCACTATTTTACATTTCCACAAGCCGTATATAAGGGTTCCAGTTTCTCCACATCTTCACCAATACTTACCTTCTGTTTTGTTTTGTTTTGTTTTGTTTTATTACAGGTATACCTCAGAGTTATTGCAGGTTTGGTTCCAGACCACTGCAATAATGTGAATACTTCAATAAAGGGAATCAAATTAGTTTTTTTTTGGTTTCCCAGTGCATATAAAACTGTATATAAAAGTTATATTTACACTATTCTGTAGTCTGCTAAGTGTGCAATAGCATTATATCTTAAAAAATGTATATACTTTAATTAAAAAATACTTTATTGCTAAAAGATGCCAACCATCATCTGAGTTTTCAGCAAGTTGTAATTTTTTGCTGGTGGAGGATTTTGCCATGGTGTTGGCATTTCAGTAATCGTCACAGAATCTTCACCAGGAGTAGATTCCACCTCAAGAAACCACTTTCTTTGCTCACCTATAAGGGGCAACAACTCATCTGTTCAAGTTTTATAATGACATTGTAGCAATTCAGTCCTCTATCTTCAGGCTTCACTTCTAATTCTAGTTCTCTTGCTATTTCAACCACATCTGCAGTTACGTCCTCCTCTCAAAGTCATCCATGAGGGTTGGATTCAACTTCTTCCAAACTCCTGTTAATGTTGATATTTTTATCTCTTCCCATGAATCACAAATGTTCTTAATAGCATGTAGAATGGTGAATCCTTTCCAGAAGGTTTTCAGTTTACTTTACCTAGATCCATCAGAGGAGTCACTATCTGTATAAGTTTTGGTGAAAGTGAGTCCTCCTACTTTGTTCCTCTTCAAGATTGTTTTGGCTATTCTGGGTCCCTGGCAATTCCATATGAATTTTAGAATCACCTTGTAAATTTCTACAGAGAAGTCAGCATAGGGATTCTGATTAAGATTCTTTTTTTTTTTTTTTTGTAACATGAAAATAAATAATTTTTTTATTGTTATGTTAACCACCATACATTACATCATTAGTTTTTGATGCAGTGTTCCATGATTCATTGTTTGTGCATAACACCCAGTGCTCCACGCAGAATGTGCCCTCTTTAATACCCATCACCAGGCTAACCCATCCCCCCACCCCCCTCCCCTCTAGAACCCTCAGTTTGTTTTTCAGAGTCCATCGTCTCTAATGGTTCGTCTCCCCCTCCGACTTACTCCCCTTCATTCTTCCCCTCCTGCTATCTTCTTCTTCTTCTGTTTTTCTTAACATATATTGCATTATTTGTTTCAGAAGTACAGATCCGTGATTCCTCAGTCTTGTACAATTCACAGTGCTCACCATAGCACATACCCTCCCCGATGTCTATCACCCAGCCACCCAATCCCTCCCACCCCCCACCACTCCAGCAACCCTCAGTTTGTTTCCTGAGATTAAGAATTCCTCATATCAGTGGGGTCTGATTAAGATTCTGATAGGGATTACCTTGAATCTGTATTTCATTTTAGGAAGTATTGCCATCTTAACAATATTAAGTCTTCTGATCCATGAACATAGAATGTTTTAGCATTTGTTTAGGTCTTTAATTTTCTTTCACCAGTATTTTGTGGTTTTTAGTGTATACATTTTAAAATGTCATGTGTTAAATTTATTCTTACTTATTTTATTCTTTTTGATGGTATTGTAATGGAATTTTCTTAATTATATTTTTGGATTATTTCTTGCAAATGTTTAAAAAAAACTGACTTTTGTATATTAACTCATTTATTAGTCCTAATAGTTTTTAAGTGGATGTTTATTTATTAGTTTATTTATTTATTTTGTTAGTCACTGTACACTACTTCATTAGTTTGTGGTGTAGTGTTCCATGATTCATTGTTTGCATATAACACCCAGTGCTCATTGCTATACATGCCCTCCTTAATACCAATCACTGGGCTAACCCATCCCCCACCGCCCTCCCTTCTGAAGCCCTCAGTTTGTTTCCCAGAGTTCATAGTCTCTCATGGTTCATCTCTCCTTTTGATTTCCCCTCCTTCATTTTTCCCTTCCTTCTCCTAATGACCTCCATGCTATTCCTTATGTTCCACATATAAGTGAAACCATATGATAATTGTCTTTCTCTGCTTGGCTTATTTCACTTAGCATAATCGCCTCCAGTTCCATCCACGTTGATGCAATTGGTGGGTATTCATCCTTTCTGATGGCTGATACTCCATTGTGTATATGGACCACATCTTTATCCATTCATCTACTGAAGGGCATCTCAGCTCCTTCCACAGTTTGTCTATTGTGGGCATTGCTGCTATGAACATTAGGGTGCATGTGCCCCTTCTTTTCCCTGCATCTGTATTTTTGGGTTAAATACCAATAACCAGTAACAGAATTGAAGCAATGATCAAAAACCTCCCAAAAAACAAGAGTCCAGGGCCTGACGGGTTCCCGGGGAATTCTACCAAACATTTAAAGAAGAAGTAATACCTATTCTTCTGAAGCTATTTAAAAAAAATAGAAATGGAAGGAACACTTCCAAACTCATTCTATGAGGCCAGCATTACCTTGATCCCAAAACCAGGCAAAGACCCCATCAAAAAGGAGAATTGTGGACCAGTATCCCTGATGAATATGGATGCCAAAATTCTCAACAAGATCCTAGGCATATTTAGGATCCAACAGTACATTAAAAAGATTATCCATCATGACCAGGTGGGATTTATTCCTGGGATGCAGGTTATGGTGTATAATTCTCTTTATATGTTGCTGGATTCTGTTCACTAGTATTTTATTGAGGATTTGTGCATCCTTATACATAAGATATAACTAATTTTCAGTTTTGCTTTCTTTTAATATCTTTGTCTGGTTTTGATAGGAGGCTAATACTGGCCTCATTTAATGAGTCAAGAAGTATTCCTTTTCCTGGTTTTTGAAAGAGTTTGGGAAGAATTGGTATGAGTTCTTTAAATGTTTGCCAAAATTTAGCACTGAAACCATCTGGACCTGGGTTTTTCTTGTGGGTAGTTTTTATCATCATCAGCAGCAGCAATATTATAAAATATACATAAAATTTAACATCTTGTCAGAGTGAAAAAGCAACCTAGAGAATAGGAGAAAACATTTGCAAATCTTGTATCTTGTAAGGGGTTAATATTCAGAATACATAAAGAACTACTATAATTCAACAACAAACAGATAACCTGATTCAGAAAATGGCTAAAAGATTCAAATAGACATATCTCTGAAGATAATATACAAATGACCTACAAGCACATGAAAATATGCCCAACATCATTAATCTTTAGAGAAACACAAATCAAAACCACAATGAGATATAACCTCACACTATTAGAATGGCTACTGTCAAACAAATCCGTAAATAACAGGTTGGTGATAATGTGGAGAATTTGGAACATTGGTGCATGCACTCTTGGTGGGAATATAAAATGACACAACTACTGTGTAAATCAGTATGGCAGTTCCTCAAAAAATTAAAACTAGAATTATATGATCCAACAACACTACTTCTGGGTAAATACCCAAAAGAATTGAAAGCGTGGTCTTGAAAGAGATATTTGTACACCCATATTCATAGCCACATTATTCACAATAATGAAAAGGTAGAAATAATCCAAGGTATGTTGGTGGATGACTGGATAAACAGAATGTGGTGTATACACAATGGAATATTTTTCAGCTCTTAAAAGGAAGGAAATCTTGTCACATGCTACAATTCTGAAGAAATAAACCAGCACAAAAAAAGGTGAATACTGTGTGATTTCATTTACTTCACATATCTAAGGTAGTCAGATACACAGAGACAGAAAGTAGAACGGTGCTTACTGTGGGGAAGGGGAGAATGGGGAGTTGTGGTTTAGTGGATATAGTTTCAGTTTGCAAGTATAAAAAGTTCTGGAGATCTGTTAACACAACTGAACTATACACTTAAAATGGTTAAGATGGTAAATTTTATGG